ATAAATATGTATCTATAATATTGTCTTCAAGGTGTTAAAAGGGCATGTATTTTATTCATGGCTGGACTTGGTTGGAAGATTTCAATAAACGTTATTCCAAGAATATAATATCTACATCTCGATCCTATAAGGTTAAACAAATGGACAAAATATAGATTTTACTTACTTTATCGCGTACAAACTTATTGGAAATTTTTTCATATTTATTTCCTTACTTTTCTATTAAAAATATTGTAACAGAAATTCCAGGCTCATTAGTTTTCCATTAATCAACAGGCAATTATATGCAACGATTTTTTACACTTCACAGTTATCGCTTTTAGTACCTGAGATCTACTTTGATTATATAATAGATATAAAATTTTTTAACTCTAATTAGGAATAATTTAAATAGTTATTCTAAAATCATTCCTCTTTTATTCTATTGAAAAAGTTTTAAATAATCTGTCAAATTCTAACAAACCTTTATTTTATTCAAGAATTATAACAAATTAAAAAATTAAAAAATATTAATAATAAACTATTTAAATTAAATATAAATTAATTGTAATTACTTCAACTACATTTTACATTGTAAATTTTTAACTAATTCGTATGAATTTAAATGTATATTGTATGAAAATGTTTTGTTATTTAATTTCTATATAAGAGCTTATTAAATTTAATATCTGTGAATACTTTGAAACAATGACTATCAAAAACTGAAATAAAAAAAATTAATAATTTAAATTTTATTTGTTCATATTATTTTAAAACATTAAAATATATCTGTTTGATATTATCTATACCTCATGGATTCACATGATGATGGTTGTAGATAGAATCTATAAAACTTGTAGTTTCTGAAAATTTAAATTTTACAAAAATTTTTCCTAATATGCCTATATACATTCACTCAATAAACTAATTTCTATGCATTATTTAATTAAATTCCTTATACGCTACGAATATCAAAAATAAACGGAAAGCATTTTCTTTAAAGAACTAATAAATAAACTCTGATTTCATTTTAGCTGTTCGAAATAGCTATACTCATTCTAGTAGGATGAAGAATTAAATCGAGCAGATGTAATATTAAAAGAGTATTAAAAAAATTAATTAACTAATACCTGTATGCTATATAAACAGTTTATAAAAATTATATAAAATGAACAAATGAGACTAATGAAATATATTTGAAAACAATTCTGTATATTAAAGTAAAATTTATTGCATTTATCAGAAAATTTCGTTATTGAACAGATTTTATAAAAGGCTGCATTACGTTTAAATGCCTTAATTCTAAACAGTCATTCTCTTCACAGCATTCCACACCCTTGCCACGTTCCTTTCGTATTTTTTTATTTTTCTCTCTTTAAGCTATAGCAGTTCAGGATTTTTAAAAACAAATTTGCACGTTTTAAAACTTTATTTAATGTTTATTTACATCTCAAATTTTAATCACCCACAATAAACATATAAAATACGAGATATAAATCAGATAATCGAAATCTATATAATCTGTAAATGTAAAATTAGTATTATAATTATTACAAATTAATTATATTTTGTATAAAAATTACAGTTTGTTTTACATTATTTAGATAAGAGTTCAATAAAAATTGAGTTTTTAATTTATAATTCATTATTTATCAAGTCAATTTATACGCGAGTTCGAATTAGAAAGTTTTTAAGGACAAAATTTAAATATTATAAGTATATAATATATAAAAATTATTTTATTAATTTGATATCAACATTTTAAAGAATAATGTATCAAATATTAATATTAATTACATTTTAATATCACTTATTCTAACTCTATAGAATCGAATTCTATAATACTTATGTCAAATGCATTTTGCTAATTAAAATAAGTTTTAAATTATGTTAAAATCTCTGTTACATTCTAGATAAATCGTATAAAATAACATTGTGTTTGAAAAAATGTGTATTTGAAATGGATAAAAAGAAAAGAAAAATTAGTATTAATAAAAATTTGAATAAAATAGTCTCAAAAATATAAACAAATTTAATACTTTCTAGTGAAAAATACGGGAAAATACGATAAGGATAGAGTTAAACGAAAGATTTTAACAGTGAACAAACAACACAATATTAGAAGGAAATAAAACAGAGGGATACGTATAGTGACGGGGAAAGGTTGAAGGCGACTAGTGTAGACATTCGCACTGAATAAATGTTTAGAGAGGCTAAAACAGAAGGTCCCTTCCGATTAGATGCCAAAAATAGCTTTACGACACTCGTAAGTACGATCACACTACGCTCTGCTACATTCTTTTCTTTATCATTACAAAAAAGTACAAATCTTGTTGCACGAAATATCAACAACAATACATTAGATATTAACAATCAATTCATCAACAATAATATAACAATAACAATCAAACATCAATTCAGTTCTTGAATGTATAAGTAATTTATTATCGTTATTTAACACAAAAATAAATCGAACAATATAATTAGAAATAAAAAAATTAAAAGGGAGAGAAGAGAGATAATATTTATTATAAACACAATTATACAATAAATTAGTAAAATGGATTGCGAATTGCACAATATAAATTAGAAAATATAAATATTCATAAGTATAACTAATAATCATAGAAAAATTATTCAATTGTCAGAAAATATCTTTGATATTATATTTAAAAGTTTAGTTAGAAATTAAGAAATAAATTTACAATATATATTTTCATCTTTATTTCTTTCATAATTTGTCCGTTATATACAATGATATTTTCGCATTATTCGTTCATATTATTTAATATTTAGGATAATTTACATAGAATAAATTATATACAAATTTTAAAATTAATTAAAGTATTTAATAACTTAAAGAAAAACAATTGTATGGCAAAAATTTGTTTTCATAAGAATACATTGTACAGCTATTTCTTTTAAATATATAATTTACAAACATTATTTCAATAAAACATTGATGTAATATATATGGTGTATTAAATTAAATAAACTACATTATATAAAATATATTATTTTTCTTTTATTACACAACCAAAGATGTTTTTGCAATTCAGTATTATAAATTATAAATAAATACTATAATTTGAGCATATATTTTTATGTAAATAATAACAAAGAAGTAAAATGAAATCTAAAAATGTATTATTTATATATTATAATTTATTATATATAATCATCAAATAAAAAGATATTGCTCTAGACCTTGCTTAACATTTTCATTTAGTATTTTATATTGTTTATGTTAAGACTTTCTAAAAACAAGGATTGACAGACAAGACATTCGTTCTAGTCTTATGCATCATGAAATTCCTCCTTCGTATTAAGATAGTTTTACTTATATTTTTAGTGTGTATAGATTCATAATTTTCTATTTATTATTTATTAAAGAACATAAATAAATTGTATAAATTTAAAGTGTATATAGTAATCATACAATTACAAATACTGTTTGTTAAATGTTCTAAATTTATGATCTTTCAAATTCAATTAAACGTGAAAATAAACAATTACATAAACTACGATAGATTACATGTTTCTTTATATTTTATTATGTGCTGTCAGTTTCGTTTTCATGTACATATTACAGAATTATATAAACAAATAATCTTTTAATGGAATTTTACATAAAAAATTTATAATTTATATTGGATTATTTTAAGGGTATGTGACTTTTTGAAATTTTGAATTCATATTAATTCCATATAAATTTTATGTATATAAAATATAATTTATCATGTAGGGCTAATGAATATTTATATTTTTTCTGACTTTATAATAATTTTTTCAATAGAAATTTGGATTTGAAATAAATGTTTTATTATATTTAATATTTATTAATTTATTATTTTAGTTTTATAAGTTTACTTAATTCTAGCGTGGATAAAATATTTAATTTTTTAATTGATGTCAAAAAATTTATAATAATGTAATAAATGCAATAATCTCAAAGAACGTTTATTCGATATCCTCTTTATGTATACGTGTATCTACAGGTACAGATTCGAAAATTAGCCATCGCTTCACATGCAACTATATTAAAAATAATTGAATTTCACTAAGGGGTGCTGCGAAAAAATATACAAAATGAACTGTGTTTATTTTTCTAAGAGAAATTATGTAGCCACTGGCATAATATCTAAATAGCAACTTTGTAAGATAACCCATATATATATATATATATATATATTGTTGATCTCCTTTTTACGGAAAGTATATTATAAATATAATAATGATACTTAAGAATATTATAAACATAATAATGTCCTTATAATGATCTATCGATCTACCCCTGCTGATTGTATGTGGTAGAACAATTGATATTAAATAATGAGGACATTACAGACAGGTATGCACTAGAAATACTCAACTGCGCCTTTTCCCCCCTTTTACGTACGCATTACTTTTACGTCTTTTATGGTCTTTCTTCGCAATTTATATGACTAAAAAAATCTTTAATTATTGTACGTAAAACAAAAATGTAGAGAAGAACGTGTAAGTCATAGAATCAGACATCGAAGAAGTAAAGAAATCTATTCCATAAAATTCCAAAAACTGCATTAAGTTCTCTAGCAGCTTTTACAAGTAACCATACAATAGAAATAATACAAATTGAAATTTTTAAGAGAAACTAAATTGTTTTAAACAAAAAGTCAAACCTAAATATTATCCACACTAAAAAAAATAAAGCAAATATAACTCAGCCATTTATCAGTACAATCTATGCTTTCGACAGAAGTTCCAAAATGTAAATATTAACCCTCTTAAGCTTTTAATATAAATAATTTAATTAAAAGTAAATTTATAAAAAATATTTATTATTACCTTATATTATTATTTTATTATTATTATATATTATTATATATTATTATTATTATTATTATAGTTTATTATCAATTGAAAGTACACTAATTCATCATTTTCATTACTAACTATAATAATAAATTTTATCAACATCGTAACTTAATATTTTATACTGTAAATCAAGGTGAAATTATCTTATTTTTATCAAATTGCAGGTAAACGGCCAGGACGTTTCGACCTCGAGCCACGAACACGCAGTACGGTGTTTTCAGTCGGCCCAGGAGCCGATCATTGTCGAAGTGTTACGCCGACAAAATCCGGCTATGTCTGCATCGATGACACCTGTAATGCAAGATCAGGAATATCAAGCACAGTACCAGGAACAAGAGCAGGAACAACATCAAGATCAAGAAAATACTTTCACGTTATTGGTATCAACGGCAGTGCAGACAGATTGGGCTGGTCTCATTGACGATGATGATTTTGTACCGATGACACTTCACGCCGATGAACAAACAAATGACAGCTTTGATGATATTCTTACTCAAGAAATTGATTTTGAGGTAAAATATTTTATACAATTTTGCTTCTTTTAAATATAGTAGATGGTGCTTCAAAAGATTAATGTACTATACATTTGTTTAATCCTACTTTCTGGTGATATCTTATTTCATACATATTTGAAATGTATTCGAAATGTTAAATTATTGATACACCAAAAAGAATATATATTTTTGATATCAATTTATTGTTCTTTTTTTAAAATGTGCATATATTTAAAATTTATGAAAAAAAGTTTTAATTTAGGTTATGTTATAGCTAACAGTATATTAATAAATTACGAATGTAAATTATTCTTTTAAAATTTACTATTATACCTACATTATAAGTTTTGGCAATTCATATCTTAACCAATTTTAATTACTAATTTAATTAGATGCATTATCAACAAATACAGATTTTATAATAATTTTGATACGTTTGAATCTGTAATCTTAATTATAAAATTGATTCATATTTCAGTTTTAATTTTTTCATTTTATTGAAAATATAATTATATACTAATACGTATTATAAAATAAATATACTTATTCAAACGTAAATAGGATTAAATAATTTTATTTCAAATAACAAGGTGTAGTAAAATTCTTCACTATTAAATTATATTATAGCCAGGTGTATTATCTTTATTTTGTCACGCTATAATATATGTTCAAGTCTAGATTATTGATAAAACATGATATATTGGTATAGTCTACGCAAATCAACCCTTCAATTCTCTACCGACATAATAACTTGATATATATATACATATATATCACCCCTCGTTTTCTAGCGAGCCTTAATTGATTGTGCATGAAATATCTCATTGCCCTATCTAAACCTTGATTATTCTACGACACATACGGCTTTGAACAATTTACTAGTATAGCTAATTATGAAATTTTCCACAAAATTCTCAAAGTTATGCGTAAATCACCTTTTGATTTAGAAGAGCCAAAATGTATTATCAATTGCTCTAAATATTTACCAATCAGGCGATAATGAGTATTACAAATTCTATATAAAAATAGTGAAACGGACATTTAAGTACTTGAATTAAAATGTGATCTCGTAATTTCTAAAAATATGACAAAAAAAATAAAGAAAATGATCTCTTATTCTTTTAATCGTTTTACCTTACATTAAATTTCTTATTTTAATCTTCCATATAATAAGAAAATTTTTAGTACAGAAGAAGTCTAATACTTTGTTCAAAAACTATCTTATTCATTTTTTTTATTTGCTTTTTTGTTTATAAAAGTTCTTATTTCATTGATAAAATGCATATCAGATAAGCTTTTACACATAAATCTATATTATATAAAGGCACTTCATTGTTTTTATTCGATTATATTATAAATATTTGCATTGCCTAAATAAAATTAATATAAAATAATTACAATTTATTCAGTTCAATATGAATTATAAATCTTTTCAGTACCTAATAAAAATTAATATAATACAATTAAAATTCATTCAATTCAATATTAACTATAAATGGGAATTTAGTTAAAATTATAATAATTCATCAGTGAAACCAAAAGACCTAAAACTTTAAAGATATCAAAAATACAACTACCGAATCGCTTGCTATTGTAAAGAAATTTTACAGATTCTTATATTTTCTTCGTGTATATAGTTTAGAAGGAAAATAATGGCAATTCGTGTTAAAAAAATTTAATTATTTAAATAAAAGATACGATAATAACAATAAAAATTAAATAAAAATTAATAAATGTGAAAATGGATTCATTGTGTCTTATGATTAACTATTTAACATTAGACATTTTATCTCTTTTTTCATTAAAATCAATAATTCACTAACTTATAAGACAAGTATCAACATAATTCTATATTTGACATATTGAAAAGTCTGAGATTAAAAATTATATATATTTAAGAATATTTAGAACCCTTGACAAAATCTGCAAAAAATATCAAGTTGATTGGGGGAAAAAATATGTTTACATTAAAAAGGAACAGGCATATACATTTATTAACTATGAGAATCTTTATACTGTGTTATATATATATTGTATTGTAAATAAAACTTCTTATAAATATATTTCATATGCAAATGATTTATAAAATGTTTATAACCAAGTATATGGAAGGTATTGATCAGGATAAAAAAAAGGAACACTAGTCTATAACCTTTGAAAATAAAATTTTAAAAGAAATATGACTAACCATAAACTCTGTACAAACATTTTCTCTTTGTAATAAATTCGTATGATAAATTTGTAATGAATTTATTAAATCAGTTGTTCTATTAAAGAAAAAATAAAATAAAATGTATAAAACTCTATTCATAAGTTATTAATCGATTAGTAAGTATATTGGTAAAAATATGTGATTGATCAAGATTTGTGGTGTTTATAAAAAAAAAGCTATCAATCATTTAAATAATGCTTAAATCTCTACTTAAAATAAACGTTTAAATACATAAAACTAATTTATTATGGTTTAATCATTTAAATTAATACTTTAAAACCAGTATTCAGATGACAAAACGTAGACAATGCATAAAAAAATGAATATACATATATTGAATGACTAATTAGTAAAGATCATAAGAATGAAAAAATTTTGAATATTGAAATAAATCAAAATTAAATGTTTAGAATGATTAAATTCAATGATATCTTAAAAAAAACCTTAAACCTTAGAAGTACTGAAAAACAGTGATTGTAAATACAATCAGCTCAAAAGTAAAAAAGAACAGAAGTCAATTGTAAATAAAATTTCTATAGACAGATTATTTAAAACTTGCATATTTTCGCATAATTTCTTATTCAAAACGATACAAAATCTATTTTTTCAAATAGATATTATTTAATAGAATTAAATAATTAAATTTGATCATTTTTTAATTCTAGAAGAAATTTTAGCAGATTTTTTTATAAAACCATCAAATTGCTATTTAATAAACAAATAAAAATAAAAATTTGTATATGTATATAGATTTTTAAAAGATATATATTTTATGGCATTTTCAAACAATTTCATAATTATATTCATTTGCAAGTCTTTTCAATCATTCACACTTTAATAATGTGCATTAAAAATTATGATATAACTTTTTAATAAAAAAAAATCGTTTTACCGGTCTACCCGCGTGAGCTTTTACAAGTTCAAGGGACTGCTAACTAGCCATGCATGCGATTAGCGAATATTCGGATCTATTCATGTAAGAAGTAGCAAACGCTAGAATATTTAATATTCGATATTATTTATAATATATACTCATAAAAAATATGTAAATATTAAATATAAATATTTTCAACTTCAAATGCTCATCGCAACAAAGAAAACATTAAATACGTAAAGAAAAGCTACCAAACTAGTTAATATATAAAATTGTTTTAATTAACATAAATTAATTGTTATTTATATTAGTATATTTACTTGTCGTGGTAACAAAACTTTTGCTTTTATAATTCAATTAAAATTCATAATATTAAAGTAGAAATAATTATTGCATAGTAATAACTAGACGTAGATATAATAATTTTGAAAATAAAGCCTAATAAATAAATTTTATCTGTATATTTATATAAAAATTATTTTATCTTTATTACAAAAACTTATTATTAAATCAATTCCAAAAAATGTTGTTTAATTCTTCCAAACCAATCAGGTTTAGTGCTTATGTAAATACTTAGAAAAATAATATAAAAGTGAAAATACAAAATATTAAAGAAAACATTAAATATACCTACTTTAATCTATACTGTTATAAAACATAACGAGTACGGTTATGGTTTTATATTTTTAATTCGCATAAATGAAAACAATATGCATACAAAATTCCAATCGATTGAAAAACACTCAATATAGCATGATAGTACTTTTACCCTTCCTACCATATAGTACATTATCTTATGATTGAAAAATTCCACTAATTTATAAGTTATGAATAAGTCATTAAAGATGCTAATATCCGATGTTTATGGGAATGACATTCCAGGAGGTGACGCTATGTAAAAGTGAAAGCGCCGAAAAGCTAGGACTAACGGTATGTTACAGTTCGGGTTCGGGGAGTGAGGAGGCTGATACGGAAGTCTACATCTCAGAAATCGTTCCTGAGAGTTTAGCCGCTCGAGATGGACGTCTACGTGAAGGTGATCAGATATTGCGGGTAAGAATCTTCTTATATCTAATTGCCTTATTAATGTGTTTTGTTTTAGTATATATACACGACCAAAAACTTATGATACCTTTTATACTAATTTAATATTGTAGCTTTACCTAATTATTTCTTTATTTCAGTAGCAGTAGCTTATTTTTGATATGTTTGTAGACTTTTTGTATTTATTATTCTAAATTTCCTATTGAATTTAAGTAAATATACAATATAAATAATGACGCGAGAAAATAAATTTTTGTAATCCTTTTTTTAAATTTTTTCGGATATTTTGAAACAAATATTACAGGATTTTAATATAGTGAAATTTTTAGTAAGTAAGCTTCAAATTTCTAAAATATGATTATTTTAGCATTTTCACATTCAATTTAATAAATAAAATAACCTTTTATTGTAGTACATAATACAATAATGTTTGTGAATATCACTTTTTTATTATTTTTTGTACTTCATGCAATATGTTTATAATAAACTTTCAATTATAACAGATATGTTTAAAATATTTTTATCTATATTAATAATACTATTTATATAAAAAATAATATTTTATTCATACAATAATGTTTAAAATAATTTAATTAATATATTAATAAATACATAAATAAGTAAAATAGAAACAAATGTAATTATATACATGTGAAAAGCATGAATTTGTGGATAGATAATAAATACATTTAGTAATCTAGACACTGTAATTCAGTTTCCAAAATACGAAAAGTTATTATTGCTGAAGAAGCAGTGAGTTTCTCGAAAATGGTTGAATTGCAAGTATGATAAGTTAACGTCCGGTCTTACAAAGACTGAAAATTACAAGTATGCTGATATAGCAACATCTCCTTTCCAATGGTTAAGGTGAAATGTGAACGAATTTTCCAGAATATACATACAAAATCGGGCTTTTTAGACAATATCATCAGATTTTTTATTTAAATACTTTTGATCACAACATTAATGATATTTCATTTAATTTCATTAAATATATATGTACATATAAATATAAAAAGTATTTTTATTTATTTAGGTAACTTCTACCATTGTGTCGTGCAATCTACCAGTGAAGTTGCAATATTTAATGTCTCATTACTTATAATATTTTATATATGCCACTGTTCTAAAGCATTACTTTTTATGCTTGTGTATATATATATAAATTAATTTTATGAGAATATATATATAAATCAGAAAAATTTACTACATGTTATATTTTCTCATTATTCATTATAATTAAAGATTTATTAATTATTTTTTTACATTTTCTATAACGGAATTTTTTTAACTATTTTCATTAGGAACAATCAAGTTCACGTATATAAATTTATAAATAATTTGTTTATTATAAATTATTCGTATCTTTATTCCTCCTCTCTCTTAAGCACAATTTACTTTAATAAAATAATAACATTTTTGGAACTATAAAAATAAGTTGAAAATGTATTCCTTCAAATTCATGCGTAAATTTATGTATATTATTTCACACATTTTGTTGTCGATGTCAATACAAAATTCAAGAAAAATATTAAAGAGCTAATATTAGATAAATTATATTAAATTCTAGACTTTTATATTGTAGATTTTAAATGGAAACATAAAAATGTACTTATAAAATGAATACATATTCTATAATCACATGTATTTATCAAAGAAAATCCATAACTCAACTTTGATGCTTTCAATTTATTGAGTTTTATAATACAACAATATTAAAATTTATTCGGTACTACTTATATTGAATTTCTAATCCAATAATCTATAAAATTAATTCTTTAAGAGGATAAGATATTATTTGTATAATGTTAAGAAGAGCTAATAGTATTTCTGAAATATGTCAAATTATTTTATTGTTTGACTAATTCCGAAAATTAATTAATCAGTAATTCAAATTAAATAAAATTTATAGTATTTAATAGATAGATTTTTCCCAATTTTATCACGAATACTTGAAATTATTTTGAATGAATAATAATTTTAAATCTAATAATAGCATTTATCAATTATTCAAATACAGCTTTTTATTTTTGAAAAAAAACAGTACTATTATTTCAATACCTTCTATTCAATGATCAATTAAATTCGTAAAGGATACACATAAATCTATATAGATATTAAAAGTTTTAATTAATGAATTTATTTATATTAATATACTCTGTAAAAAATAAAAGTACTACTAAATTAGCTAAACGTTATATAAATAGATTTTTTGATCAATTTAATTTTCAAATGTGGAATACAAATTTAAATTAAGAAATCTTGTATACTATAGTTGGTGTAATATACGTATTAAAAAAAATTAAATTTGGTGTAGAGTATATGTTGTTATATATATATATATATATATATATATATATATATATATATATGGATTTATTCAATCTTAATCTATATTATTTTACATTATTTGTTGGAAAAACCAAATTAATTGACGTATGTGTGAAAATCATCTAAAGATGAATAAAAATAACGATTTAAATTTTGTAACTTATGGAAAGTCAATTATTAATTTTGAAAACTTTCTAAACCATTTTACAATATTTTACAATTTGCATAAAATTATTTCTATAATATAGAATATATTTTTTTTGAACAAAGAAGATACAATACAAAACCGTATATATAAGTTCTTTTCTTTAAATAGTACGTAGTGAATCGCTTCTATGCTAGGGTGAAAAAAATCAATTTGGAGAAATTAAAGAATGAGACTGTCTACTTTAAACTAGTACGCCAGACGACTTGCAAAAGCTTTGACGCTTGTAACGTTGAGCGGTGCGGTAACAGAGTGAGGCAACGGCAAATGCAAAACATAACCAGACAAAGTGTGACTCTCGCACGCGGATTTTTTTCTTTCACCACATTTTTCTTCACATACCGCAACTTTTATTCAACGAATTACTAACAATGAAATATTTCTTTCGGAACAAAATGAATATGCGTATACATATTTCCCATATAGAGAAGAGAACAGATTTTGTTATAAAATTTGAAATAACTTTTAATTATATAAAAATTTTTATTTATACTTTCAGAACAATTCACTTACTGAAAGATATTTCATATCCGTCAGAGAAATTGTCAAAAATTGTATTATCATCCCATGATTTATTATTATTGGTAATTCTTAAATGAATAAAATGACGTCAAATTGGTTCAATAGAAAATTAAATATGCGTTAGATTATATAAGTTATGTTATCGTTAAATTATTAACTTAATCATTTCAATAACTTAATAATTCAAATTTGTCGGAATATAAACATCTGAAACTAAATATAATGCCTTAGTACTCTATAATTTGACTTATTAAGATTTAATTACAACAATGAAAGATCTTTTTTATATATAAATAAATGTGAAACTAAATAAATACAAAATAATATCTTGCATTTATAAAAGATTATTCGATTATCGAATAGAAATCTTTTAATAAAGCAATTACAAAATGATAATAGTTTTTTATTCCTACTTTTATGCATTATAAAGAAATGTTATTAATTTTCAATCTGTCTTATACAAATTATATAAAAATTATACGTAATTTTGTAAAATAGTCATTTTAATTCATTGTAGATCAATAAATGACAAACAGCAAAGTGTGATTAGGAAAAAGAATAATAGAGAAGAAAAATCTAGATTACAACTGGCAGTAAATACAAAGGTTTTGTTAAGATAAAGAGGAAGAAATAGTCTGAATATGTTTTTTGTATAATGGAAGTTTTGATGGAAAAGCTCTGGCAGCATGCAAAGAAAAGTGCAGAGTGGAGCGCAATTAACGGATTTCAAACGATTTTCAACAGATGAATTATTCCCGAGTTAACGCGTTAGAGCTTACGATCTGTCGCCTATTTGTCACGAGTCTGATGCATAATCACGTTATACAGATTACAATTAAACCCAAGAGATCTGTCCTCATTCCTACATTACATTATACATCTTAAAGTATCTGTAATACTTCTAAAATATGAAACTATACAGAAAGTTTATTGTTTTATTAAATATAGTTAAATAATCTATTGCTTTATATATATATATCTATTACAACAAATTACAACACTTCTATATAGTCATGAAATTGTCGTATTACTAGCATTATTTAATTTTTTGCGATCTTCAGAATTGACTCTTTTTCAATACTTTATAAATGATTTTTATTTATAAATCAAGAAAATTTTAATTTCACGTTGACAGGATAAATCAGTTAAAAAATGTTTTCAACTTACATTGAAGTCATGCATTGAACAGAAAACATACAAGTTGTACATTGAAATATATTCTTTAAACTAAAACTTCTTTAAACCCTTATTTACAATATTGTGCTGAATACTTTTGTCATATTTTGAAAAAATTACCTGCAATTTCTAAAAAATTTTAATATATAGATAAATATTTTAAACTCTTAAAATATAACTAGAAACTTAATATTTATAAAATATTTTATATAAAAAAAATATTATATTTAATTTTAATGTTATCAAATAAAGTTTTAACTATTCATTGTAGTCTTTTCTTTATAAATAGTTTATATTGAAATTTTCTACATCCGTTGAAATACATTAATATCACAATATACATTAATGTATTAATGTATGAATTTAAATACTTAATAAAATAAAATTAAAGAAGAATTGAAAAAAGTATATTAAACTTGTTCTCTTAATCATATTTTTAATATTACATGTTTGTTAAAGATTAGATATCATTAAGATTATTTTGGAAGAATAATTAAAAGACCAATCACCCTAAAGTCTTGAATAAACAGTTTTTGCATTAAAAGGCTTATGAGATTCTGTATTCTTATGGTGTAATATTGATTTTGTACAGAAAAACTTTTTTTTTCAACTATTTTAGTACAAATTGTTACTATATATTACAATATTATAAATTACAATTGTTCAAATTGTAATTTTAATAGTAAATTTTAATAAAAAATTTACGCAATATCTTTTTAAAAATAAATACTTAAAAATTGTACATTATAAAAATTATTCATCAAATACATACATTTTATAATTATATTCTACAAAGACTTATACATTTTTATCATTTATCGTAAATAAAAGTTAACATGAATACAAATTCGTCATTATTTCTTTTCTAAATAAAGTAATTAACATTAAGTATATTTAGATTCTATGTTATTGTTGATAATGACAAAAGATTTGTTATGTAGTTAAAGATGTATCATGTTGATTGTCAAAATTTTAATTTATTTAATTTCCGAAAAAAATTCCGTGTAGGTTATAATATTTATATGTACAGTTTATAATTGATTAAAAAAATTAACTAAACACCATGCGAAGTTTTATAAACTATTTGTATTTGTACATAAAAATATCAAGCTTCATATGTTATAAGTATACAAGTAATCTTCATTTTAATGATAAAAAAAAATAAAATAATAAAATAATCTCAATTATAATTCTGTGTAATATAAAAAGTATAAAATTAACGACAAAATTCCAGCTAATCATAATAAATAATCTTATCGTACCTTATTGATCCTAACTCTGAAAAATTAAAAAGTAAAGTTACGTAATATATAAGCAAAAATAAAAATATATCTTTGAAAAGCTGTTTATATATTCGATATAAAAATGCAACTAGAATTATCAACCACTAAAAAGCAGATGCAATTCTACGGAAAGTTCGGAGTGGAATTTAGATTATCACCGCTTCGAGAGTTTTTCTAATTAACACAGCATAGGAAGCGAAAGAGTGCAAGAAATCTTTGGAATTTTGTTGTTGATTCCGGTGAACACGAGTCGACTAGACTTGTATGCCTTTTTGTGTATAAAAAGCTAACGGCAAATGTCGCTTGAAAAGCTTCTGTCCCCTTACCCATCTCGCTACAACGCAAAGAGGCTGAAACGCTTTTTCGCAATCATTTGCGCAAATGCCGATGTCCCTTTTCACTGGGCATACACCCGAAGGAATTTCGTAGCAGTCAGAAATGTTTGACTGTGGCTCGCTCAGCAACACTAATTTTAAAAGAGGTTACACCTAACGCATCGTTGATCAAGGTTTCATTTTTACTCTACTTGTCGCCATCTTTTACTCTTGTATTACTCATTAACGTTTGCACCTTGAATATTGCCTATATGCACACTTTCAAAAACAAAGATTACGGTTACAAGATATTTAGTAGAACAATCTTAAAAATAATCTTTAATTTTTCTTTTAAAATTTTTGCGTTATTTTTGTAACTTATACAAAATAATTTGTTTCTGTAGGTAATGTCAATTATTCCAATCAATCAAAATCGATTTTATAAATGTCTCTACCATATAATACCAACCTACTTATGAAAATTTGCCCTTAAATCCCTTAAGTCTATATATGTATATATATATATATATTATTTGATTTGGTATCTATTAATTTCTTTTCACACGATTTTCGACATGTTTTTCCCTTTTTCTGCTTAACATACTTTAACTATATTTTTTTAGTTTAGGCTTAAAAAAAAATTCATTCTGTGAGTCCTCTAATAATAATATGTATAGTTAACTAAAATCTGTATACTTTTGAAATTTGAAAATAGCAATTAGACTAAAATTAAAAATTCTTCGATTTGACTGAAAAATGTTAATATCATAAGATAGATTTTTTATAAATATATATTATAAAATTTAAACTTCATATAAATATTTCAGGTAAATGGTAAAGATGTAGCTAATAAGGAACAAACTGAAAATCTATTTGCCGAAACCAAAAGTGCTGTGACAATTCTTGTCAGTCGATGTTTATACGGGGTATGAATAAAATAGATATTACAATTACAAAAATGTTATGCATTAAAAATGTATAAAAACTAATGTAAGTACTCTACTGTGATATAGGATGACGATTACGACAACAAGCGAATTTATCACGAGGTAATCATTATATTTCAAATATATTTGATTAATTATTTCCAGTTTTTTCCTTTTTTTGATCTCATATATGTAAAGTAAATGATTTAATTATAATGTTTGTACTTTTAATAAAATATATGTAAAAATTAGCTGAAATATAAATTTCATTAAGTAATATTATTTATTATACTCTAAAAAGTCAATGTATACACTTTAATAATTAAATTCATATCCCACATTAAAAAATAATATATAATAAACTTCCTTTTATAAGCTTACTTTTTATAAAATTTTATTTTATAAATTTATAAATTCATTTTTTTTATTTCAATAAATTTATATGAGTTGTAGTTATTGAAAATATTTTAAAGAAAAAAATTCTAGGGTTCGCCAAGACTCTCGCCGGAAGTGACAACACCAGCTTATCAAAACAGCATGATCGAGCAGCTGATTCGTCAGCAAAAGCAGGGATCAAAAGAACCGAGCACTACTAATATAAAGAGCAAAGATGATGAAGTACCAGCCGTACCTTGTCACGCTCTTGATTATTCGAGTATCACACAAAAAACAAGTGTTGAACTTGAACATCAACACCGCCAAAAATGGATGCAAGATGCATTAAAGGAGTGTGTACAGAAAGTTGATGAAATGAATGTTGGGCAGAAACAACAAGTAAGTCTCGTAGAGGCATATGCGAGCCATGTGTGGAGCGACACCGAACACATTTATGAGACGATTCCCGAGTCCGATAACGAGCCTATCTACTCGTCACCATATGAACATCGGAACTGGTTGCAACAACCCAATAACAATCACCTACATGTAACAATAAATTTTTCTTTAAGATGTTTTGTTGTCCTTTGCATAATAATAAATATTTTAATAGATAATATTAATATTCATTAAAAACAATTTGTATGTTTCGATTAATATATGATTTCAAATTTATGTGTAATATTATCCAAATTTAAAATAATTATTTTAAAAATATTCAACGAAATATCTATAAATATAAGATATCTATACAATTTTATTTTTCATACATGTAGATCTTTTTTCCAATGGCTTTTTCCTACGGCTTTAAACATTTTGACAATTATAAAGAATTTTGTTGCGTTATAATACTTTTAATTTAACTTTGTAAATTTATGAAATAGAAAAATGATACATATATTAAAAATGTATTTATCATAAATCTAATATTACTAATAAGAATAAAATTTCAATTTTTGTTCAGATCTTTTAATCAGAGTATGTTTTAAATTATTGTATTAAAATATATTTTAACTTATATTAAAACATCTAAACATGTATTTTATACATGCCGCAAATAAAAAAATAATAAATATTAACAAATTATCATGTTTTTATATAAATATAAACTCACTAATGATATTACTACCGCCCTTGAAATAACTTTAAAAATTTTTAATATACAAGATTTTTTACAGTTTTTTTTAATAGACTTTCGCATAAGAGTATTTTTTAATTGAAAGTACCATAAAAACATGAAATTTTAAATTATGCCTTTTAAATTGAATTAAAAATAATTCAATTTAATGACAACTTTCCTATTATTATCTTATACACTCTTTAAATTTCCACTATTCTTAAATAATATAGCTAATTTGACAATATTATTATACTACTATAATACTATATAGCATTCAATATAATATTCAATACTGCTTTATGCCATGCACTTTAATATTTTATGCTCTATGACTCTTGAAAACGAGCACAAAGTATTAAGCTATATAAGTGTAATTAAGTAATTAAGTGCAATTACCGTGTATGTTTCTATAGTATTATTTTTTAACAGAAATTATATGTTTTAATTACATACAATCATTTTTCGATTCCACATAATTTATTTCTTAAAAATTATTTTTTTTTACAATTTATATTATTTATTAATATACCCTATATACGTATTTAGAAGATATTAACCAATTAAAGATTTACATATTATTCTTTATTTTATACTTTAATTTACATTTTAAATAGAATTATTAGGATATATTTATAATTTTTATTGAGTAATTTTAACATTTAAATATTTTTAAGAGTTAATATATGAAAGTTCATTACATTTTCTGTTGAACGGTATTACAAATTTTCGAACAGGCAAAGTTCAAGAACGTTGGAAGAAGTTATTTGATTAAGAAAATGTAGAAAATACTACTTTTCATATCGCATATTAATTATAAAACAATATCTGAATTATATCATAGTCGAGTAGTAAATGAAACAAAAATCAAAATAAAATAATATTGATAGAATGATTCGAAAAACAAATCTACCTGTTTAAATCATATTGGCCAAATAAAATAATATTATTCATCATTATTACATAAAAACTTGTTAACATTTTTTTTATAAATCATATACAACTTTTTCAAATTATTTTTGAAAAAATGATTTGTATTCAAACAAATGAATACTTAATAACTTGTTTAGTAACTTCACTATTTCTCATATTTATAGTAGAGTAATATATTCAATTCGTGTTAAAATATAAATGTGATTAAAAATATATTTTTAAAATAACTCATTATTTTTTCATTACATAAATACATTAAATTGCGATAGGACATTTTTTACAAATGCTTTAGTACAATACTATCAAAGATAGATGAAGTTTTATCTGAAATTGTATGATTTTATGTTCGCAGAGCAACAACCAAACAGGAGTCAATCAAGTAAGTAATAACGTCAAGCCCTGGCATTCTTCGTCAAAAAGTAATAGTTCCGGGGAGGAAAAGGACAGCTCGAGCGCCTACAATACAGGAGAATCTTGCAATAGTAATACTCTTACACTGGAACTTCAACAGCCATCGGATCACCATCGAAGTACTTTAGTACTCTGTCCACCTAAACCAACACTAACAACCCCTGTTTCAAGTACTCCAAAAATACAATGTAATTGTTCTGTGCCTCTTACTTCATCAATTAAGTTCTGCAAGGTAAATAATTAGCATATAGTAGCATATAGAATTTTTTATTTTCCTAATTATATTGATACTTTATTATTCAAACGATTATCTAATTCAGAAACTAAAAAACAATTTTTTTATATTTAATAAATATTTAAAGATCAGTAATAATACATTTACTAAAATAATGAAATATAAATTTATTGTATAATATAAATCTCAAAACATAAATATGTATACTAGAACTTTACAATAATAAACATTTTAAAATACTTTTTTCTTAATTTCTAAACAAAACTCAAATTTGTTTGACAGTATAAAAAAATTTTTCAAATTTAATTTAAAAATGGATGAAAAAGATTATTTGCTCATTTTTAATGAAAAATGTTTTTTATTGATTTGAACTTTTTCTGAACAAATGCTTTTTTCATTATCATAGTTCATTTATAATATAAAGATAGGTGAATCTAACTTAAAAGACTTAAGAAATTTGTTGAATTTTAAGCACCAAATACAGTATATTTAAATAATTTAATGGCCAAAACAACCAAATTAACAGTTTTTTTTCTAAATTTCTAGACATGAAAAATAAAAATTATTATTCGTTATAATAAAATTATTTAATTATTAGTTGATAATCGAAATACTTTGATACTTAAATTATAATGATAGAAATAGAATTATAATTATAGAAACTTGGAAATAGTGTAATTGCTTATACGAAAATCACCATACTATGTTGTATAAAAATATATTAATAATATTTTCTAGAAAAATATATTTAAGATAATTCATACAAAGCATTTAAAATACTTAGAATAGATGTATTAAAATAGATGGAAACCTGTATCTACGATGTTTTATAAAAAATATATTTAAAATTAAAATTCCTCATAATTGGCATTTTTCTTATAAGAAAAATTTAAAAATAATTCAATAACATTTAGAGTCATTTATTTTCGTTTTAATATAAGAATTCAATACATAATTATAATAGATTTTATTAAATTTTTATATTCGCAGTTAAGAGTTTCTAAATATTAAAAATTTAATTTAATAGGTACAAAGTATATTTTCATTTGTATCTACTTGTTGATACTTTCAGTCTAAATGAAATAATAGACAATATTTTTTTAATCACCCTTTTAAAAGGTTCAAATTTATTTTTGTTACCATGGATTTCCTTAATATTTATAAATAACAAAATTAGACTTTAGAAGACTTGTTTACATTTTCAATAATATGAATAAGGTCAATATCCTGTATGCGCTAAAATAAAAGGTTTAACAAGAAAGACAATTTTTTAGAAAAATTAATTTTATTTTTTAGCATAAAATTGTAAACATTTTTTAAACTTATATATATGATTTTTAAAATTCTAAAATATGCGTCAAATCTGTACTTGAAAACCTCGTTTTTTCATTTAAATTTTTTTATTATACAATTTACTATTTCATTCGTGAATATTTAAACCTGTGTAATTTTTTTAAAAATTTCACATCTTATCTTTCTGAAACCATTTTATTTACATCAAAATTAAGATTATTCTTTTTTTTAACGGTATGTTTTTTTCTTATTAAGATATTTAATTATTAAATTGATTTTTACCTAATTTTAAAAACATTGTAAAGATTGTTTACGTAATTTATATTTGTAATATCAAATATATACTAAATTCATTATTACCAACCTATACGAAAAATGATTGATTACGCTAAAAAGTTTTAAATCAAGATTTGAATTATAAACAGATTCCTTTTTTGTTCGATTATTAAAGAAAACATCACTTTTCACATTTTCTCGCAGATCCTTTATATTTAAATATTCGTTTATAAGATTCACTTCTATTAATAAAATTCTATTAATATTTTTTGGATATTTGTCATTTGTGCTTTTCAATAATCCATAATAATACAATGAATTTCTCATATTTTCTAAAATTAATATATCAATTAAATATTAAAATCATATAATGTTATTGATACTTTTTTAGATTCTTTTAAATTAACAAACTATCGAAAAATAATTATCATTGTAACACTCGAATTTGTTTTTATTTACTTATTTTAAAAATATAAAACATTACCTAAATAATTATAAATTTGAGATAAAGTAGTCAAATTGTTACGATATTGATCATGAATACTTTCTAATGTCTTTACATTCTAAAAATGATATTGATATTTGGTTGATATTTTCAAAAATTGGTAACTCCTATAAGTTCACTAATTAAAAAATAATTAATCAATTATTCATATATTTTTAAAAACGAGTTTAAAAAGTATTTATGCAGCATTATACACATTGTATCATTTAAAAGTATTTTATATTTACATTAATCAGATTTCATCGCCTCAAAATCCGAATTCACGTCGAGGTTCGCAATTATCGCAGCAACAATTGCAACAACCACATTCAAGCGTATTAGCCGCTGACACGATGTACACGAATGTAGCTAATCTACATCAGACAATGAGATTACAGCAGCAATTATTCAAACAAGCAATGAGCAAACGGAAATCGGGTGTGGGACGTTCACGTGGCCAAATTAGTTTCCAAGCGCCAAGTCTTGCTCAATACCAGTTCGTAGCAAGTCACCAGATGAATAACCAATCGATTACCGAACAACAACCTCAAGCTCAAGAGTATTCTGATCAAGTTCAGATGGAATGGAAAGTGAAACGCAGGCCCGATGGTACGCGCTATATTGCTCGACGTCCGGTACGTAATCGAATTCTTAGGAATAGAGCGCTCAGGATCAACGAAGAACGCCAAGGACATACTACTGAGGAAGATACTCTGTCTGAAATTAAGGTAATATAATTTTTTTCAAATCAAACTTCATTGTAAACCAAATAATTATATAATAAAATAATGTACTATATAAATAAAAAAGCTTTCGAAAATTTATTTGTTTCTAATCATCCTAACTGAACCGTTTACCTTTTGAAGCTTTTATTTTAATTATTTTATTGTAGGTAAAGTATTATTAAATATAAAATATTCTTTATTTGTTTATTGATCTTTATTAATAATCTATAAACTAATCGTTAAATATACAAAAGTACATAATAAAAATAGTGTTTCTTTATTTTTTATAAAAAAGGTTGGTCGATATTGGAATAAAGAAGATCGAAAAAAACAACTTGAACGAGCAAGGGAACGAAAACAACGACAACAAGAATTTACACAACAAATGCAACAATCTAATGAGCAGTTAATTTGTGATTACATCGAGGAAAATAAATTGCCAAAAAAATCATTAAACACTATGGATCAAGGTTACAAGAAAACTTTGAGAAAAAAGTCTCAAGTTGATGATTTTGCCACAGTGCAGGAAATGTTGGTACATGGAAATCGTGTTGGATCTAATACTCCGAATACCACTGGTAAAATTATAGGTCTGCTTTCAGTAACCACTGTTTAAAGCCCCTTTAGATTCTCATTTAATTTTTTACATTTTCATGTAAATTTTGTCTGCATAATATTAAGTAATTTCATGTGAGTTAACAAAGGAAAACTCAGAATAAATAATGTAGAATTTTTTAACTACACGTCGATGTTAATTTATACCTTTGTCAAGTGTAAAGATGTAATATACAACTACGAATTTAAAAAAACTTATTGTATACATTTTACTATTCACTCTGTACTACATTGTAAATATTTTCTAAACTATAGCGATTCTTATTCACGACTTTAGGTGCCAAAAATCATAATGTATGCATAAATTCAAATATGTAGATATGTACTATATGACCAATCAGTTACTCTTTTATTATCTGCTAGAAGTCAGAAATTGAAATTCAAGAGTATTAAATCATGAAGAGTTTTTAGAGAAACACAGTCAATAATATCTTATCAAGAATACAATAGTGCAACAAGACTGGTTCAATAAAATTGCACTTTTTTATACAAATAATAAAAATATTAATGTATCTGCTATTGATGCAAATTATTAAGTGCAAGATCACACACACAAGTAAACTGAAATTATATCAATTTATTTTTTTTTTTATCTAACTTATAATTATTATAGATTAAGTATCTGTCGACCTACTCGTTGCACGATAGGTTGATAAAGATCTTTTTATGAAAAAATAATGAAAATTTTATACATCCATATTAAAGTATTTATATTGTTTAAATTTTCAAAAATGATTCGAGTAATTGGTGACGTAATCTGTTAGTCGACCGATAACAGGGTAAATTTGATTTTAATCCTAATTGTTGTGATTATATCACTTTCTTACATACAGATGCTCATCGCCACAAATATACACAGATAGAAATATATACACAAGTAGAGACACAGATAATAAATAATAAACTAATGAGTATTAAATACAGTTTAATAAGCTTTCCTTTAATGCCTTACGACATGAGATCAATTAGACAAAAGGATTAAATCACTAATTACAGTATCGTAAACTGAGAACACTTCTAATGTATCAGTGTAGAAATATAATGTCTATAATCTAAAAAATCACGTTTATTTAATAAACCTTTTAAAATAAATGTAATTTACTTATTAAAATACTTAGAAAGTTTATAAACTTATACAGTTTACATAGTTTACTTATTTTAAGCTTTTTTCAATTTCAGTTATGTTTATTTGTAAAAAAGTATAGTTAAACTTTGTTTTATAGAATGATTAATTATAAATAGAACAAATTATGATTTTTCCTTTGAATTACAAAATAAAAATAAAGCTTTTATGTATTAATTATATTTACAATGTAAAAAGGCACTAACCTTATTAGTATATAATAAATTTTGTAATTACTATAAATAATTAATAGAAATATTTTATCGAGTTTTCAAAAAATAACGAAACATTTATTTTATTTTTTATAAAAAAATTTGTCAAATTCTATGGAAGACATGACATCTCGTTTTCATGCCTGTATACTTGCAAGTAATATTTATAAGTAAACTAATTATCATTTATTTGACTGTGCTCATCACTTTTGTATTTTTAAAATATGTGAACAAATCAATTAATTTTTAATTAATATTAAATATCGACTCAAAAATAAAACGAACTTTTATTATATTCGCATAAAATATGTTTCGGTTTAAATATTAAAAAATGTTAATATTATTTAATATTTTCCTTTCGGAAGTGTTTAAATGTTGTGCGAATACAAGAAAACCATGATGCGTAGAAAAATTTTGTAAAAAGTCTCGCAGGTACTGGCCAAGATTTAAATGGTATATCGAATCTTGTTTTATATCTATATCTTCTTCTTCGTCGCTTTCGTCATCGTAATTTTCCAGTACTGAAAATTGATGTAAAATCAATATAAAATATGCCATAAGATTTTATATAAAATCTGTCATTTGAGAGAATAAAACATACATAATGACACATCATTACCAGGATCTATTACTCCACCTTCGTCACCTTCGTCGTCATCGTCAGATTCCTATTACAATCATTACAGTGTTATTTTAATTTAAAAAGAAATAGAAAAAATAATATAGATATCATTATTACTTCTATATCTTCTTCTGCAGAATTGGCCTCAAGATAATGTCCTAGTTCATATACAATAAGTTTAAAAATTTTAACAAGAACTGGAATTTTGGTCCACTGCATTGGTGCAGATTGACTTTTTCCTCTGGTTCTCATGCCCGTTGATTCATTCTCTATTTAAAAAAATATGTAATATTATTAAATATTTTATATACTATTTATTTAGTAAATTGTATTTTATTTAAATAATTCTTTCCACATAAAACTATAATATAAAAGAAATTATTTTAATTCATAATACATTAATAGTGGTTGATTACCATAGCATTAAAAATGAAGTACTTAAAATATAATATACCTAAACATATTAAATCGCCTTCAACCGTGATTTCATTCAATCTACTATCATCATGAGTAACTCCATATTCCAACATTTTGCAAAGTGCAATAGTGGCTACTTTACGATCGTAATTACCGAAGAACAACTGTTGTTTATTCATCCACTCGGTTAATACAAAAGCAAGTGCGCTTTCACCAGTTGGACCAGGAACTGTCGATAAGAAATTTAATACAGCATCAAACTCAGAATTAATTAGGTGAGCATAAATCATTAATAAACTTTGCATCACTGTTGGAGTTTCAGTTCGTTGCATTTTACTAAGAACAGCTTTTAACAATAAATCAAGATTTTCTCCTAGAGAATTTCCAGCTTTTCTTATTAATGTTGTGATTAATCGGCCAACGAATGTGGCAGTAAATTCACTAGACTTTATAAAGAAAAACAAAATTAATCAGCACTCTAATTTGATTAGTTACTTGATTTATTCTACCTGTGGGTTTAACAGCTGGGCTATGATTTGCAGTATATATTGTAAACCAGTTCGACCTTCATTATCTTGATGATCAATCACCTGATGGGCAGCAACTGAGAGATAAGTGCGAATTACTTCACCACCATTTTGTAATGTTCCATTATCTGTGGAGTCTAAAATGCAGTGACATGCTACAGGAAATGCAGACTCTATTAAGGCACTGCTTAAGGGTTGAGGAGAATATTTCACTAGAACTTCCAATACATCTAAGGCTACACCACGTATTCCCTCTAAAAGAATGTATTGATTTTTAGCTACATGATATATTCTATCAATTGTTAAAAATACTACATATAAAAATACCATCTGTTGATTTTTTTAGTGGTGCTATATTCATCATATTAATTAATGTGGGTACCAAACGTGTTTGTAAAGGGCTGATACAATCAGGGTTTTCGCTTAATTCCTTAAAAATGTTTTGGCATAAATTCAATATTTCTGGATCACTATGAAATTTACTAAAAACTGCAATTATAAGTGGACAAAGTTTATTTTCAACTGAAGCTGTGAATACCTTATCCACCTAAAAATTAAACTTTTTAATAACGATTCATATAAATTTAAAAATTATTTATCTATCTAAATAAATTACCAAAACTAATACTGAAAACGTTTCCATGACAAGGGTTAGAATTTTCTTAGATGGTTGACTGGATAAAACAAATAACTCTTGAAAAATTGTAATTAACTGTGGACGTAATATATCAAGAAGTGTATTATTTTCTAATGTAGCAGCTTCACAAAACCAATAAATAGCTTTTATAGAGTTAATACGTATGCAAATGGATTGACCTTCTTGCAAACCATTCACAGCAGCTTCTAAAAACCTGGAACTCATTTCAGGTGGTAATTCTTTAGCATACCGTCCACCTATAGATAAACATCTTCCAAGGAGTAAAGGATGAACTCCTAAAATGTATTACATTTTTTGTAATTAATGAGTTCAAGCAAATACATCTAACTTTAACATTGTGAAAATTGCAATAGTACCAGAATTATTGAGAGTTGTTAATACTATACTATCTAGGAATCTAATTATATCAAACTGAAGTTTGCCAGATTGATGTTGCTCAATAACTGCATCCTTAGTAGTATTCAGGGCTACAATACATGCTTCATATATTTTCCATAATGAATCGGCATGTCTTCTTACACAATTAGGTGACTGTGGATTATTTATTGCTTCTATATGCCTAGTTATGGCACCACAAAGTGCATTTACAGCAATTTCTTCTGAATATGATAAAAGGGTCTATAATATTCAAATAAAAATTATTTACATTCATTTATTTTTAACTTTCTCCAATTATTTATAAAATTCAATATATTATTATACCTCAAGAAGTTCTTGAGCTGAAATTCGAACATTAAAAGAATATACAAACTGATCATCTTCCTCAATAAATTGACTTGGGTTATTTGTCCACAACTCAATTTGATCTTCTGTTACTTGCATGAATAAAATTATGTAATACATAATCTCAGATAAGAAGTTATTCAAAAGATTGGCATATTTTTTATGATCAATTAATGTACTAACAAATTCGAAAGTAGCAATAATAAGATTATTAAAATTCATTACTTCACCTATAATAAAACACTTAATTTAATTCTAAATAATGAAAATTATTGATTTAATTTGAGGACTAAAATTCACCATCAGAATCAACATCTTGTACTTCTTCATATCCATTAACTACTTCTTCTTGATAAATTTCAGCACTTTGCCTTAATGTTGTCCATATAGACACTAAGAGTTGAGGTAAATAAGTAGTCATATACTTAGATAATTTTAAAATTAAACAATTAATTGCTCTAATAATTTCTGTTTTAAAATCACTGTCTCCATTAGGCACACTTAAACATTGAACAAATTTTTCACAGAACATGGGTATAACTGGTAGCAAATGCTGTTCAATAAAACCTCGGTTATACATTCCAGTTTTGGCAACTAAACTTGATATCGTTGTAAATATTTCAACTGCCCTTCTCCGTGTAAGAATGGAATATTGCTGAATACACATTAACATATAATTTTATAAAAATAAACTATGAAAATTTAACATTACATTAAAGTTATGAATTCTCGTTCATTTTAAATTTATTATCAACATATTCAACTATGATGAAATTAATTAACTCTACTTTAACATTAGTCATTAATCATTATTATTATAATAAATATATAACACTTTTACTTATTTAAATAAATATAAAAATTTATTAGATAAATATATATTTTTTAATACCTATTATTTTTCAATAGTTACACAAAAATAATATACTTAAACATTATAAGTGATACTTACAGTATCACTTTGAATGATTCGATACATTTCTTGAAGTATGACTGGGCCGACATTAGGTAGATGCGTATCTGTCAAATCTCTTGTAAATTCAGTCAAAACTCGCATTGCTCCATGAACTGCAAATTCATTTTCACCACTTAAACAATTAACAAGAATATCAAAAAGTCCAGGCCAATTTTCAGGCCATTCCCAATGAGCAATTCTGGATATTGCATAAGCTACTGCAGCTCTTACCTATGTTTTAAAACACAAATTAAAGTAACAAAATTGTATAAAACAATAACTTGATTAAAACAATTTTTTACACACTTTACTCATTGAATCATGCAATCCTAATGGTAATAATAATTTAATTTTTTCTTTCACATGTGGTCTTAATTCAGGAGGGCGGTACTTTTCTGCTAGTGAATTCCAGTGATTTTCTATATACTGTTTTAATAGAATGGATGCAAGTTGTCTAATATCAAATGGACCATGGGGACCCACTACAAATTCAGTTAGATGAATTCCAAATTCTTCCGTTACTTCCAAAGCTGCTAAACGCTGTTCAGCTGCTAATCGATTGTCTCGATCAATTGCAAGAATGCCATTTAATGTTTCAAATAATGCTTCCTTCAAAGATCCCTGTACCTCTGCTCCTGACATGCTTTCCGTTTCAGTCTTTTAATTTTTTTAGATTATATATACATTAATCTGAAATGGCATAATAAAAAACAATAAATTTTACATTATTTTTATTATGTTCAATTAAATTTAAACTGAAATAAAACACAATTTCCTATTATAATAAATAATTAATAAAATTATCTATACACAACTTACGGATATCAATCCCATCAAGCAAAATATTCTAGCAACATTCTTGTCAACTACAAAAAGAAATAAAAAAAAGGAATTTAAATTACATTTAAATTAAGAATGTGATAAAAATATTGTGAAGTAAAAAATATGTTAATAATTATTTCATCAGAACTTTGTCCTTAAATTAAATTAAACAAACGAATTACAAAATAATACAAAAACAAGCAATTTTTGTAATCATTATTCATATTATTTTACTAAAAAGTACAAGTACATGGTTATTACAACAAATTATTTTTAATCAATTCAAATAATGCACTATTCTATTGGCGTATACAAATATACTATTGTATGGTTACAAATATTATATTTAAAAATTAATTACCTATTATCTGTAAAAAGAAAAGGGCGGGAAGATTAAGTTACGAATTTTTGTATGCACTTTAATGAATTTAAAAATGCACTACATAATTATTAAATTAATAGCAATACAATACATCTTGAACACGTCAATTATATAAATAAGTACAATGCATAGAATATAATTTATATCTTTTGCAAATTAGATAAATATTTAAACCAGTTCACAAATTTGCAAAATAAACAATAGAAATAATAATAATAAATCATTAAGTTATGTTAGTTACTGTATTCTATTTGTTCAATTTAACTACCTGTATACTTTACGCCTTAAAGTTTTTTTTAATAAATTAAATATAACTAAGATTTTATTTATAATTTTAATTGTCTTTTCATTTTAACTTTGAAATTAAAGTGAGATGCTTAATATGCACATGTTTACAATTAAAATTCTACGGGCATGTAATCTATAACATAAAGTCCCGTTCAAAATTTTGTTTCATGAGTTTATGGTGTTCATTATTAATCATATGACTATATTCGTCAATGCCGGTTTAGCAAATATTTCCACCGTTCCGACTTTCAAAACTACCCCGGCAAAACCGAAAACTTTTAACCTTATTTATTTATCGAAAACAGCAGCACCATCAACACCTAAAAAAACAGTTGTAATAAACAGTAAACGAACATACTTTACATCTTATAGCAACATCTATACTGATTTGTATTATACACTTGGTAGTCAAAACAGATCTCCTATATTTATATAACTATAGTTAGATAAAAAGAAAAGGTACAAATGTACAGATGCATGTAAAGAGAAATAACACATATTCTTATATGGATAGAAAGTACCATTTGAAATTATACAATTAGATTACAGATTTATTTTATATTTTAAACTATTCACAGAGCTATCTTTTTTTTATATTAAATATTTTTTAAAATAAAATTATGACAAAGTAATCTTTCACTGTTAATTTTTTAACGTAATAAAATTTATTAATAATGTCATGAGATAATAATATAACATTTAAAAAAAAAATAAATTGTAATTTTTTTTAACGAAACTAACTATTGATTTTACCTTAATAAATAATAGCGATTAAAATATCTCTTAAAAAATTATTATTTTATCAAAAATATACACATGGATTATCTCTACAATAAAAATTCAATAACTTGATACAAATCAAAACGTTAAAAAAATACGTAGAAATCTTAAAATTTGTTTGAATAGAAATTTATGTATCAATACACTTTTTGATTTCGGCAATAATAAAATTATTTGACTATCAGCATTTAAATACATAGAAAACTATTTAAAAAATTTTTAATATAAAAAAAAAGATAACTTAATAGAAGTAAATGTTAAACACAATAACTGTTACAAACTAAAGTAAATTTTGTTTCTTTTTAAAAACTATACAGTTCCTTACTATTTCAAAGAGAAAATAAAAGTAGTCGCGAATTCTAAAAAAATGTATAATGGGAGTTGCACTTTATAATATGCAACTTTGTACATAATCGACATCAGTGAAAGACAACCATCTTATAGCATTTACTGGAACGTATAAACTATATTTTCTGATATATTATTAAATATAAATATGATGAATATTAATTTTTGTATTTATAATATTAATTTTTTAATTATTAGAACATTTAAATGTTTATTTATAACCATTATTTATCCTTATATTGCATATTTAAAAACGAAAATAAAATTATGAAAACCAATGAGAATACTAGTTCTAAATATTTTACAAAAATACCATAATGACGTTAATATATCATTTTGTAATATAACAAATTTAGTTAATCCTTATATACTGTATTTCCGTTTGTAATAAAGATAATTATAAGTGAAGTGAAATATTGTAACTAAGCTAGATTAATCCCTCATTTTTAATCCATAAATTTGTATTTTCACTTTTTACACATGCATAAAAGTTATTTTTTCTAAATTTTCAGATGTATTTTTTTTTATAAAATACTGTATTATCTTAATTTCTGACAGAAAAACCAAGTTGACCTTGAGCAATTTTAGACATCATACAAAAATAATTCATAAGCATTCAAAATTTTATGTAAGATTTCCAATTTTAAGTATGTCCAGTCGTATATAAACATATTATTATTGCTAAAATTTTATCCATAATAATGTAAATGTTAATTTTTATACACATATATAATTAAAACTTAAATACACGTGTTCACAGCAAATTGTTTGATTTAAATATTTGTTAATAGAAATTACTTTTTGCAATCGTTATCAGTGTTTAAAAAAATTAAAATCTTAAAATTTATTAATTTATTATTTTTAATGAATAAATTATTATAATTATAATGATAGTAACTAATACATTAATCCTAATATCACTAATACGCTATGCAATATGACTGAAATATGAAGAAAAAGATGTATTCTTTAGAGATTACATATTCTTAATCGCAACATTTTATTTGTTAGAAATTGAATAATCACTAATATTTGTATCCAAATAGTTTATATTAAAATTATTATAATGATTAAAATCATGTAACAAAATTTAAATATACATTTTTTATGCAAGTAAATTTTCTAAGTGTTCATCATCATTTACATCGTAATCAATCATACTATTTTTTAATATCCACCAATTATCTAAGAAACCAATGTCAATTATTCTTTGATGCAAAGTAACAAATTGAGGCTTAAGATAGGGACATATAGTTTTATAGAGTGCACACTTATTATCATAATTATTTAACCACATTATAGAAATAATTCCAAGATTTAGTCGACGCAAGATTCCTTCATTATAACATTGTTCAAGCCATTTCACATAACAAGCACTGATTGGATTTCGTATTTGTTCTCCTACTTGACCCAATTTTAAAGAACTGCTAATGACTTGCTCTCTAAAAGTAATTTCATCTGGATTATGTTTTATCCCATAATAAATTATTCCTGCAACTGAACATAATTAACATTAATATTAGTTTTAACTTAATACTATTGTTTATAATTTAATAACAAATAATGTTTTATTTAATAAGCATACATATAGTATAAATTGTAGTTTTTATAGGATGTTCTTTACTTTCTTTAGAAATATTAATAGCTACTTCTTTGTAGTCATAATAAACGTTTTTCCAATAATTTACTGAAATAAAAATATTTATAATAAAGTAGATGAATATCTTATTTAATAAAATTTTACTTAATAAGAAATATTTAATTAATATTGTACACAAACTAAATTTGACTGACTTTCCTGTATATCAAACTTTTGTATTTAATAAATCATACAAACACATAAGAACTTTAATGAGAAGTTATATTTAATAAATTAAAAATTTTATTTTCCTAATTTTTGTTTATGAATACAAACTATTCTTTTCAATATTTGATTATATTTGAGGGGATACTATTAACTATTCTATTTTATATTCAAATTGCTTAATTAAAATTTTTTATAAATATAATGGAACACATCACAAAACTTATAAACTTTTAATTGAATATCAAAAAAAAAAAAAAATTAAACTATTTAATAAAATCATTTTATGAATTTTCATCAAAATATTAATTTGTATTACAGGTATGCGATAAGTATTTACAGCATTAACCTATAAATATAAATATTGTAAAATTATAATTTCAATACACCAATTCTGAAGAAAACTTCCTTTAACTTTCTCTGCACCATGATATAATCTAATTTTAAGATCGCTTCTATAAACTTGATTAATGTTGATACACAAAATCTTATTACAAACACTTCTTTTAAATGTTCTATTTAAAATAACCGTTTGTGCAAACATATTTAGTTATCTAACATCATACATGTTCTGATATCCTTTCAAATTAAAGAACGTATATTATAGATTATGTATTCACTTGATTTTTGTAAAAGTAAAGTTGATTGGCTTATTTCATGCAGCTCTTTTCAATAAAAATATCTATGAATTTTTATAAATATCAATAATTAAATGAAACATTACTTAAAGAATAAAATTGAAATTAATATATTTGTCATTTTTTGGAAAAAATAAAACTCACTAAATATTAAAAATTGAACTGTTCTAATAAACAAATAAAAACTACATTTTGTTTTGATTACTTTTTCAAAACATCATATATAATAAATAATATTACCACTAAATTCATATTAAGTATGTCATTCATAGCGAATAATCTTAATTTAAGATCGTCACAACGAATGAATTAGGATTGTCGGATACCGATATGCGCTTTTGAAATATGACGTTCTACACAGTTTTTAAGTACGAATAATGGCAGTATATTATTACATATTATTTGAGAATTTATGAAAAATAATACATTTAATTAAAAATTAAATTAAATTAAAAATTTAGAAAATAAAGCACATAAGATAAAACTAAATTGAAATTTTATATATAAAATTTAATTTAAAGAAAATATAACTCCTGTATGCTTTATGACTTTGATTAGAATTTCCCTAAAGATTTAAAGTAAAATATTAAAGCTAAAAACATAAAAATGAGCGGTGTATAAAAATATATTGATTTGATAGAAAAACATTTATTCTTCATAACTCCTATCAACGGAAATATCTAACCAAAAAAAAAGATTTTAAATAATGAATTAAATTATATTTTTATATTGTATTGAAGGCCTGAATAAAATTTTAATTTATCAAAATATTTATTATTTTAAATATATTCTTGCACTAATTTTAAAAGTTTAGCTTCATTCACTAATATTTTTATGTATATATATTTCTAAACTTCCATTTAAGATTTTTAGAACAAAAATAATGTATTATAATATGTTTTTCATTTCTTAGCATTCGGTAAAGTTTAAAAGATAAATTAATTAGAAATTAATAAAAATTAATTAGAATCATTTTTTTTATCTCAACAAATTAGGATTTTTACTGAAATTTGCAACAAGAATAGATTTTCCAAAATTAACAATTCATAAAATTAATATTAATTTTATTTATATTATAATAGAAAAGTATCTAATATATCTTATTGAGAAATAAAAAGATTAAATAATGTATAATTTTTTTTTTTAATATATAATTTGGTCATATAAAAAATATACCTGGTAATTTACTTATTGCACTTTCAATTATTTATTCATTTTAAACTCTACTTTAAAATATGGGATCGTTTATAGAAGATTTGTTTAATGAATTTGATTAAATGATTTAGATTAAAGAAATTGAATGCATCAACTTTCTTTTACGTTAGTTAGCTTCGTCTTCAAAATTATTAAACTGTTAAAATCGTGTACAAATCAATTTATTTGAATAAAATATTGTTTACATTAAACGAAAAACTAGACATTCTATTTAAAATTAAAAAAAATTAATTTTTCTATTCATTGTCATTATATTTATGTATAAGTAAATAAAAATATTTTTATAAAATGTAGTATATTGTATATTTCTATTTTTATAAATAAATTATTTTAAACATAACGGCACATGCGTTTTAATGCACATAGTATTTTTTAAGATTTTCTTTTAATATTTAACAATTTCATATTTTTTAATAAAAAATTATATTTAATATCCACTTCCTTAAGATTAATAAAAGAAGAATGAGGGAACTCCGAAACATAATTAACTATTAAATGGTTGATTGTATTTTATTTCCAATATTTTTTAATAAATTTAACAATTGAATATATCAAATTAGCAAGAAATTATGTCTATTGATATTTATAATTGTATTGTTATTTCATTTGATCTACACGAGATGAACTTAGTACTATCAATATTACATTATATATTCGATTAATTATTCAACAATTTTTTCAGAAACATTGAATTTTCTGTTTTTGAATGATTGAAAAAATTTTTTATCGTAATGTAAACATACCCTAATATTTAAGTCACCTTGAAATGTCATTCACTTGGTATTCGATGTAAAATTTTAAATTGATATATGAATACACTACTATTTGATTTTTTATTATTTTTTCATACATATTTATAAAATTAATAATTAGTTGCTAAAGCATGGGTGAAAAATGGTCGAGTATAAAGGCGTCAGATATTGTAATTCCTAATTTAGATGAACTATTTAACAGGGATCCTTATTTGAAACCTTATGAATACGAAATTAAAAAAAGGTACAGCGAATGAGTTTATTATTGACAGATTACAATTATAGAAATAATTTTTTGCAATACACACTCTTATATTTTAATTATTTTGTATCATTATCTTATTTAAAATATATTCAAAATACAATATTAACATTATTAAAAAAGAAATTCAATACTGTAAGATAAAAGAAATAAAAAAGTATTTTGTAATTTATTGGAATTATTGAATCTTCGACAAAAAGAATTAAGTAATCAACTCATTGATTTTTAAATTGTACATTATAAATTATATAGTTTATAAATATAGATTTTAGATTACATGGTTATTAATTATAATTCAATACAAATTTTATATAAATTATAATTAAAATATTAAAATGAACAAAGCATTGGTAAATTATAAATTGAAATTATTTGTATGACCAAATTATTAGTAATTTTTATTTACATAAAGAAGTATGTAGAATTTATAGATATGATAAAATTAATGTGTATTCTTGTATTTTATACTTATTAAAAATAAATTGGGGAAAATATTAAATCCTAAATATTTAAAAGTATCATTATTAATAAATATATGAATTTTTATCAAGTAATATTAAAAATATGTCAATATGTTAAAGCTAATATTTATCAGAATTTGAATTTAATATTGATTAAAAATTAATGTAAAAAATATCAAATAATTTTAATAAGTAAAATAACCTAAATAAGTTACATATTTATATTTACACATTGTTTAACATTTTAATTTATACATTAATAAAACTTTTTATAAGTTTTTTGTTGTAATACTTTAGATATACTTAATAAGTACGTAACTTTTAATCTATAATATCAGTTCGGCTATTATAATATAATACAATATTTAATACACTACAGTCATTTAAAATTTTAATTCTTTTATCAGTTTCATTAATTTTTTGTAACATCTTTGTTTTATTAGTAAATATGATAACAATTTTAAAGAAAATATATTATTTTATTATTCTATTAATAATGAAAACAATGCTTATAGATGATTGCATTTTATTTTGTAAAAATTATTAGTCAATGTCCTCAGTAATTAATAACTTACATAAATACAAATACTTTTAAATTAATTTTTTTTTTCAATCATTAAATTTAGTTTAAAATATTTCTACATTGTTTAAAAAAATATTTATACTTCACTACACTTAGATTGTTACTATTTTTAAAATATAAATTATACATATATAATAAATTTATAAGATACATAAAACAATAATCATTAGTTTAATTTTTATCATTTTTTATATTATGTAATCAGTTACTCAATTCATGTTTATTATATTTAGGTATGTTTAATATCTGACATTTAAAAATAACTAAATAATTTTATTCTTTCGTATATATATTTTTAAAAGGAATTTAAAAAATTTAATGGATGCATCCATATTAATATTAATGATAATCATAATAACAATGAGAGCATATTGAACAATTTAAGAAACAATATAACATTTTTTAAATAGAGCCTTTGGCAAACGTTGTTTGCTGCCATAGTAATTCTAGATAAAAAAGTCTAAATATATATTTAGAATATAATGTAATATCTCAAATTTAATTTGTTTTGTTTAATAAAATTTTTATTTCTAGATTAAATAAATAGATAAATTTAAATTACAAAGAAATTTATGAAAGATCTGTGCAAATGGCATACAACCTGTTAATATTTTTAACAGTGTTTTCCTTAAATTTATCTAACTTTCAGTGTATCGGAATATGTAGTATCACATTTAGCAAGACTCCTGTTTTTACTTTTGAATAGTAGTAACAAATTTGAAACCCAGTACAATTTGATACTATTATAATTTTCAACAAAAAAATGTAGATTCTACAAGATTCATTATATTTTATACTTTTTATCGAGGATAATAGTAAACAAAGATATATGCAACCATTAATACTAATGAATAAAAGAAAGTATAGTATAAAGTAAATAATAATAATAATAATATCAGACTATCTCTTAAAAACAACATTGTGAATTATATAAGACATCTTTGTTGCGTCAGATATATTGTAGGTACAATGAAAAATTCTGTATTATAAAATTCTTAAAAATATACTTTTGATGGTTTATTAGTGGTAAATTATTCCTTTCTAACAGTGACTGAAGATCTTACAAAATTGATATTAAAATCTGCATTATAACATCTCTTGCAATAATACTAGAGGCAGTTAAATATATATATATATATATATATATATATATATATATATATATATATAATGAAAAAAATGTGAATATATATTTAAAATTTTTAATTTAATTTTCTTAGTTTACATAACACATGTATCTATGTATGCATCCATATATCATATACTATACATAAATTAATTGTAGCATACTAAATTAATGAAGATAATACCCAATAATTAATTATTTAAAATAAAATTGTGCATGTATGATATAATTTTTTTATAACATATTTTTTTTTGGAAAATGTATGATTCCTACAAGAAACTTGAACATTATTTTTAAATTGTTTGATGAGATACTTTTAATTTATTTTTTTAAATATTCTAAAATATATCTACTATTGTTTAAATGAATATAAAAAATTAGAATATAATAATTCTTATTATATATGCAGATATATATTGTAAAATATTTTATGAATAATTTTACTTTGATATAAATTCGTTATCTAATGTATTATAAATCAAGTACAAACTCTACATAGTCAGAACTAATTTATTAATATAGGATTTAGGTTTTTTCTTTTTTATTTAGCGTTATTAAATACAAATTGATATATAAACACTACGCCTTTCAGAGATACGAAAAAAACGAAAATATGAGGATCGTTTTTCTTTAATAATAGCCCTATGTTTCGTCTTGTATTTTACCTAATTCATTTACGTTCTCACATATTGCCTTTCTTATTCTTTCTTTCACTTACATATTCTTATCTCTAGTGTCTTGCTTCTGTGCTTTTTCTCTATTTTGTGTCTCTCACTTATAACTATTTTGTTCTTTTTTCTCATTCTTTTCATTCTGTTTCATTATTTGCTCTTTATGATTATCTGATTGAAGACTGACTTATTACTCATTATAATATAATATATAATATATATGTAAGAGTAAAATTAATTCTATTATTTACAATTTAAAAAGTTTATAAATACCGACTTCTACTAACATTTTCAGATACGCTTTATTCAAAGATTATTTAGAGAAAATAGAATCTGAAGATAAAGATTTAGATAAATTTACTAGATCATATACGGAATTTGGTATTCATATTAACGAAGATAATTCTGTCAGTGGAACAGAATGGGCACCAGGAGCACAAGAAATTTACCTAACAGGAGATTTCAGTAAATTAATATTTTTATGAATAATATTTTAATTTTTGCTTTGAATTAATTATATTTTCGTTTCAAGATGTTAGTTATTATATTCAATAGTAATCTGTATAATCGTGATATTTCATAAAATATTTAAAACAATTTCTTTTAAATTCTTGTTTATATTTTTTATATATCAGATATTGTTTATAATAATAATAATTAGGATTAGATAGGTAGAATAAATATCGACAGTGTGACTAGAGGCTTATTAGACAACAGAATATTTTTTATGTAAATTGAAAACACTTACATTTTAAGATTTATGTATTTAATTCATTTATCGTTATATTATAAATATTCTATAATACGATTTTGTTCATAGTTAAGAATTTAACTAAATACAAAATTTCCATATATTACCCATTATACTGCTAAAATAAATAGAAAAATACTGTATAAGTAACAAATGAAATAGAGTAATATCCTCAATTATTAAGAAACACTAGTTCTGTATTAAAATTTAAAACATTTATAAATTTTAATAAAATAAAATAATAAAATAAATAAATTTTTATTTGCTATTAAAAATTGTCATAGTTTAATCATCTTGGAAATGTATCATGTACATATATTAATTCATTACATTTAAGAGCCTTAAATTGTCAGTGTAACATTAATTAAAGAATTAAGTTTATTGTGTGATATAATAAAAATATAGTTATAGTATAATTTTTCGAGTTTTAATTATTCAATCTTAAAAAATTATTTGTTATGCACATACTGAATTATGTGTATGTAGCAGAAAATAGACAAAAATAGAAAAATTTTCCATATCAATAAAAGCATAAAAAGTAAAATCATTCTTATGTCTCACTCATCGGAAATTTATAAAAAATATTTCTAATACAAGAAATAATGCGAAATAAAAAGCTAGTTAATTGAAAAAAAACAGGAACAAAGTATTTATAAACCAATGAAAAAACTACGTTAGTTAAAATTATCTGCAAAAAAATAATTCCTAACAATTATAATAATAATAGCCGCATTGAACTGTACAATTTATTGAACTAATCGATACAGCATTTAGCAGGAAATTAAATGTTTTACTATATAAGGAAATTAAAAAGTAAAGGTAAATTATGATACAAAACTATTTGTAACTACTGGGAACTAGCTTCTACATTTCCACAATCTTAACTGAAGGATGAATTTCACGTATACATCGTATATAATACTCTATTACATATCTCAAAAAGGAAAAGTGTAATCTATATAATGTATTTTTAGTTGTCTTACTGGCATACCTATTACCTTAAGTACAAAATTACTTAGTCATTTCATATAACAATAAATGCAGATATTTAACAGAGTGAGATATTTACAAATAGAAATAGAACAATACAAATAGAAATAAAATATTTTAAGTCAAAATAAAATCAATGTCACAAAAGCTGAAATAAATATAGTGTCAAAATATTTAATTAAAGATAGTTTACAAAGATATGTAATATAAACAACAAACAGTAAATTGCTAAATTCATGCTACTCAACAGGTAATCGTAATGGTAACGTAAATCGAATTTATATCGATATTTATTCGTATAATAATTAATATTTAGACTTTGGAATATTATTATGTGGTTCTTGGAATATCTAATTCAAATCATTCTTATAGCTGAATAAAATATTATTTTCGTTATTAATATATTTTAATTAAATTTTTTTATTTAAACACTTACTATAGATAATTTCAATCCTATGCATTCATATACGAAATTAAAGAATGGTAAATGGAAATTATATATACGACCAAACTCTGATGGAAGTTGTATAATCAAACATTTGTCAGAAATAATTATTATTATTATCGATGGAAGTGGGAACATGATTAAGCGACTTAGTCCGTGGGCAACATATGTAACTCAGTTAAATAGCGATTCAGATGATACAACATACAAACAAAAATTTTGGTATCCAATGCCAGAAGCTGTTAGTGCATCTAAAAATAATTTTCCACAAAAAAAATGCTGTATGTATAAATAAAATTATATTTTCCAGAGATATAAATTTAAATATCCAAAGCCAAATAAACCAAAAAGTCTTCGTATATATGAATGCCATGTCGGAATTGCAACGCAAGAACCACGTATTGGTACTTATCTAGAATTTGCTAAAAATGTTATTCCTCGAATTGTAAAACAAGGTTATAATACTATTCAGTTAATGGCAATAATGGAACATGCATATTATGCTTCTTTTGGCTATCAGGCAAGCGGTAACTTTGAATCAGTTGAATTATTAAAGTGAAACATAAACCATTTTAATTATTCTAAATTGATGACAGTAAATAATTTTGAGAAAAAAATCTATTTTTAAAAGTTATTACTCTGTTCATTTATATTTTTTTATGTACTAGGTTACTTCTTTTTTTGCTCCTTCATCTCGTTTCGGTACACCTGAAGAATTAAAAGAGTTAATTGATATTGCTCATAAAAATGGTATTTATGTCTTATTAGATATTGTCCATTCCCATGCTTCAAAAAATACTCTAGATGGATTAAATATGTTTGATGGGACCGATTCATGTTATTTTCATGACCGATTAGAAGGCGAACACCCAGTTTGGGGAACCAAATTATTTAATTATGCAGAATACGAAGTTTTAAGATTTTTGTTATCAAATTTACGATGGTACATTGATGAATACAGATTTGATGGTTATAGGTATATAATGTATTTTTTAATTTAATTATTTAAAGGTAATATAAATAGTGTTTATTTATATTATCTTATATTTTATTTAAAAATACCATTAATTTATAGAAGTATAATACATATCTAATTTTTATTTTAACTTCACAAGTATTTTAATGTTTTTATTCGTTGTATTAATTAAAACTTAGTAGCAAATTCTTAATAATTAAAATTATTATTTATACATTTATTAGTAAAGATAGCATTTTATCAAAATATTTAATAAATGAAGTTTGCTTAATTCATTCTTTAGTTATTATACGAAAAAAATAGAGTGGTATTCACACAATGGAAATTTTCAGATTTGATGGTGTCACATCTATGCTTTACTACTCTAGAAATTTTGAAAATCGTTGTAATGATTATTATGATAATTATTTTGGATTAAATGTTGACGTTGAAAGCGTTATTTATATAATGTTAGCTAATCATATATTACATTTATATTATCCTGAAATTATAACCATTGCTGAAGATGTAAGTGGTATTCCAGGACTTTGCAGGTAATAAAATTTTCTTAAATCACCATTAAGTTATTGGAAATTAAAATCAAAATTCAATAATTTTGAAAATTGACAGTAATATTTAATAATTTAATATTAACAAAAAAATTTAATATTAACAAATCATACCTTTTACCAATGAACGTTTTATGCCAGTCACTGTTTCGGTCTTGATGTTAAGAAAAAAACACAGAAAATTGTTGTAAAAACCAAGAGTATAGTAAAACATATAGTAAGAATTTAAATAATACGTGTATCAGAAACTAGAATAAAAATACATGATAATACACTTTTAATTACTTTTAAAGATTAATAAATCACGTTCGATATTGATTAAGAAATTAATTGTTTTTATACATTAAGAAATGAAAAGTTGATTTCTTGTTTGAATTAAAATAAAAATTAGTCACACCAACTATTAAACTATTATTAGCACGAAAACATTTTTTCGTTGGAAATATGTGCATCATCAATTAAGTGGCGTTGAATCAAAATAAACAAATGATTCAAAAATAAGAATTCTTTCATTAAAACTGAATAAATCAGCTTATTTTAAGAAGATTTCTTACATTTTATACTTTAGTGTATATATTAATTATCAATATAGTTAATCAAGAATGCCTATAGAATTTTATATTTGTTTATGATTAAGTAAGGTACTCTAATTAATTTTGAAACTCGTGATATTCTAATGTTCATCCCTTCTAGAAATATTCCAGTACTGCATTCAGTATATACTATCGTTTAAAAGTAGAGTTGGATATGATAAATTATTATCAAATATTAAGTTTGATATGAATAAAAAGTGGCTAGTGTTTTATTAGGTTGAATAAAAATCTACCTAAGTTGGATTATTTCTGATAACCATTACACTGCTTTACATAGTTCGTAAAAACAGACAAAGCAAATAATTTAACAAATCAAAAGTCTACGGTAATCTAATATTGTTATTTTAAAAAATGAAAGATAAATGCAATTATTTCACGGAGTGCTCTTATTAGTATCCTTTATAAATAATAAGGTGAATATAAAAAATCCTTAAAAAAAGTAAAGGGTAATGTTAGAATAGAATGAGTGTATCATAATTGCCCATTATAAATATAGAAAATTATAGGTATACGAGTACAATGGGATCAACCGATTTCTTAGTTCATTTAACGTGATATTATCATACTTGATTTTGGACTTGTCTTATTTGGAAAATTAAACATTTGCTTTTAAGATACATAAAATATTTGAAATTAAAAAGTTTATTTTAATTAATTTGCCAACTAATATTTGCTTGCTAATAAACTATTCTGATTGAAGGCAATGCAGAAAAATTTTATAAACAAATATAAATGTTTTGATCGAAATGATGGAGTATTTTTTAATGATATTCCTAAGAATCTTGATTTGATAGAGTACCCTTTTCAAGAACTGTCATAATAAGGTCATATTGCACAAGATATATCTAATAGTTATTATTACTGGGGGATGGGATATTAAAAAATGTATCCTATTATTTGAGTGTCAGAAATTCAGATATGTATATTAGTCTTTCAGAAGAGAGGTATTATATTATTTTAAAAAACGAATTCGTATAGCGGTAATATAACAAAGAATTCGTAATATGAAATGGTTTCTGCTATCAACTTAAACATTTGTTACAACAGAATGGGGAATGGAAAAATACAAAAGTAACTAGTTATTAATATAATGTAAAGACATGCGAGCAATAGTTTTATTAAATGGACCAACAGTTAACAGAAAAACACGATTTTACAAACGTAAAATATGCTATCTGCTGCAAAAAAAATATATATGCATATGTATATACGGTTAACTTTAAAAAACAGCTGCTATACATAAATACATCTACTTTTATATAATGCGAATAATTGTGGAAAATATGAATAAACCTTCATGCTAAGTAAAGTATGTTCTGGTTAAACGGAAATCTGCATACTCTTGTTATCATTTTTTGATGAAATAAATAAAAAATACCAAGGTACTGATTGGAACATTAAAAGGACGAGAAACCGACGATAATTACATTAATTGTTATAACTTAATAAATACAAAACCTAGTATGATAAGTCTATAAATCTTAGACATAACTAAGAACATTAAATTTTTTTAAATTAAAGTTTCATTCTTTAATATGAAGGATCCCAGTGGCTCTAAGCAAATTTGAAACATACGTCTGAATAATAAGTGTTCGAGATTGCGAGAAAAGTTTATTGCCACGACTTCCCACGGTCGTTGAACACTCGAGACGGTCAATACATCTGGAAAACACCCGTGAATAGTTAGCTTATTTATTCTCGCTTATCTAAAAACGTGCTCATGCTTTCCCGGTGCAGTTAAACTGTTATGTTGTTTACTACCTCCATGACGTATATTCTGAAAAAGTATACGAAAACTATCGAGTACAAACATTTCATAAATTTCACTGCAATCCAAAACCCTGCACGTGCGACAACAAGCAATAGATGTACGTGCGCACTCGGCTTTTTAAGACAATGCTTGCATTGTTCCTAACTACGTCGCATCTTGTCGATCGCATTGGAAAATCGACCACGCCCTAGAGGACCCTTTATCTAGCTAAGTCCCAGAGAAGGGAGAGGCGATCAATATTAAAGGCTCCCCAATTTCCGACACTTTCCCGATTAGCATATTCGGGACTGAGCCCAGAAGGAAGTGGAAATGAAGGCGTGCATAATCCATCGTGCTGCCCAAGGTCAACCTTTGATTGGATAACTAAAAGAATAAGGGGTCCCAAGTGGAACTGGGTCAGTGAACTATTTAAGAAGGACAATGTAATGTAACACCGCTTATTCCTATTCTTATTCTTCTCCTTATTGAATGGATAAGTCATGACTTACTCTCATGGTGGAGGACCAGAGACAAAGTCATTCAGCTGAGTCTAGTAAACTGTCTTTCTACGACTGTGAATCAATATACAGTTAACGTTGGTTATAACGTATAACCTATTTCTTTTACAGTAAATCATAATCTCACCAGTTGCATTAAGTGTTCTTCAATATAGGTATATCACAACGCCACAAGATTATTAAGAAATATAAAGGACATTTTTAATATCATCACAGTTAATTATCCCAACTTGGAAATAAATTGAAATAAATGGAATAAACAGCGGTAAAAATTAAATGTGTTAATTATTGAATCAGTGCATTAACCCTTCACTTGCCCAGCGATTTTCCCACATAACATGTAGTGGTTTTTTTCTAAGTTAATTTTGCACGTTTGGCTGACGAGTCGGATTAGTAGAATTAATTTTTTGAACAATAATATTAACGTAAAAATAAATAGGAAGAAATTTCTTCAAATACAAAAAATAATGACATAATGACTGTGCCAATAAAAAATTGAATTGATAAAATAATTTTAAATAAATTAATTTAATAAATAAACTAAAAATAAATTCAAACTATATTCATTTAAATGTAAAAGAATAATGTTCAAAAAGTATTTTGACTTAATTTTAAAAAAACGAAATTAACATAACATTTTAACCAATGATATAAAATTAAGATTTAATACACTGAATATTTATTTTTGTGGATTTATTTTTTATATATAAATATATTTAATTATATTTAAATATTGTTTAAATAATTCTAAAAAACCCCGAAATGTACTCTTCACACTGTAAAGAAAATTAAATGATAGCATTGTTTGATTTAAGAAAAAAATAAAATATTTGCTCATCTAAATAAAAATAAAATAACTAATAATTTATTTTCAACAATTTTTTTAATTAAATGAAATGCATCGGGTGTCGAATTGTAATTATTGCATATATTGAAATTTCACAAAGTATAAATATAACTTACAATAATGGTCGGCATTGATTTATATTTAATATATAATTAATTGATTTTTTAATTTAATTAGAATTAATAACTTACGTAATGTATCAAATTCTTTAATAAAAAATGTATAAAAGATATCTGCTATATATGTAAATTGATAAAATATGGAATATATTAAAGGTTCAATTTTTTATAATAAATTTGTCATAGAGATCGATATAATTATAATTGATGTTGTTCGCTGTATTATATAATTGTATATTCACATAGGCAAATAAAAATCCAAATACTATCATATTCTGCGCAGAACTACTTCGTGGATTAATTGTAGAAGTATTAATATATTTATATATTTTTAATATAATATATTGCTTGCTTATTATCTTTCTTTAAATGATTCATTTTTATTTTACAAATATTTTCACTACCAACAAATATTATACAAAATCTACTAAAAAAGATCGTCTTAGTATATTGTTCTTTGAAAAGTAACTTATTTAAAGATAGTTCTTGAAAGAAATAACTTATAGAATTTTTGTTGAGTTTATATTTATTGTTACTAGGCCTATAGATGAAGGAGGCTTTGGCTTCGATTATCGATTAGGAATGGCAATTCCAGATAAATGGATTAAACTTCTTAAAGAAGTAAAAGATGAAAATTGGAATATGGGTGATATAGTTTGGACATTAACTAATCGTAGATATATGGAAAAAACAGTAGCTTACGTTGAGTCTCATGATCAAGCTCTTGTTGGCGATAAAACCATAGCATTTTGGTTAATGGATAAAAAGATGTACACACATATGAGTGTGTTGAGCCCTGCAAATTATGTGATAAATCGAGGAATTGCATTACACAATATGATAACTCTTATAACACATTCATTAGGTGGAGAAGCGTATTTAAATTTTATTGGTAAGTTTAATGATCTATTGATAAAATGTTTAGTTGTATAATACTAATAATATTATTATGAAAGTTAGAATCATTGTATATACTAAAAATAAAATGTAATTTTAAATATAAAAGTTAAATGCACATTTTTCTAAATTATTATAATTATATTGTACTTATATTTAAGCAAATTAACAAATGAAAAATTATATTAATAATTTTCTTGGATAATAATTCTAAAATTAATTATATTAAAAATAACATTATTAATTCAAAATATTTCGGTTTTTACTGTATTTATAAAACAAGAATCGACGAAAAACAATACCGTTTAAATTTTTCTACTTGGTTATCAATACTTAAGATATGAATGCTTTCTTTAAACTGTATAAGAAATGTCATTTCAAAAATAGACAAAGAAATTAAATACTTCCTCATAAAAATTATAAGTGAATATAATGAGATTCTTCCGCCATTATAGGGTTTGATACTCATGTAGTAAAAAATTTAGTAGATTTAATTAACAATATACGTTGTTAAAATAGAATTATATTTATAAATTAATATCTTTGTAATCATACAATAATACAAAATGATCATGCAATACAGTATATATAAATATGCATAAAAAATAGTTTTATTCTATCATTGGAGATTATCCAAGGAATCTTTAAATAAATTAAAAATTTATTAATACATAAATACACAAATAATTTTAACACCCGATAATTTCCAGTACTCCGAGTATTCCGACAATTATTCAAAGCCCCATATTTATAGTTTCTTATACCAGGATTTATAATTTATAATAGTTTCAGTTGTGAGCACAGAATACTTAACGATATTAAATGGAACGTTTTATTATTGAAATAGATATATAATTATTTTATAATATAATGTAGAAAAAATAATACATATACATTTAAATGCATAAACGTAAAAAAAGAATTGAATGAATAAATTTAAATATGTAGAGATGAAAAGTAAATGAAAATCGAATACGAATCTAAAGGCTAGGGTACGTATTAATAAATCGTAAATCAATATTAATATGAACATATGGAAAATGACAGTGATTAAGTATTTAGTAAATAAAAAAGTCTATAAGTAAGAATAATTAAATAAGTTGAAGTTAAGTACAAGTTAATAATTCATTATGAAGTAAACACAAATAGAAATTGTTATGTTGGACAAGTTCTTTCCTTTAAAAACGCTTGTTGAAATGGCAATTATATATAATTTTGAGATTAAAATAGGTACAGAGGTTTCTGTGATATAATGATTTATATAATACTGAAGAAAATTATTTTGAATATATATAATTTGTAAGAATATGAATACAAGATAAGGAACGTCTATATGAAACGAATTAAAATTAATTAATTCAACTAATATTTATGATCTTCAGCAATTTTAACTTTGGTAAATTTATCCTTAATACTAAATTTCATTTATTTGATAAATAATTAACTTCAAAGCTCAATGGATTTGATATAATTTGACACTGTTTAAAAATCTGTTGATTTTAATTGTAATATTTAAATTGAATAAATAAATTGATATATTTAAAACAAATGGCGAAACCAAACCAATTAAAACATTTAATATTTAGATAATTATGAAAGGAAAAAAATAAATAGAGTAAGAAGATAATGGCTGACATGCGCAAGAAGATAGATCTATTAAACGGTGGATATATGCAATAAATCAAATTGATAACACATTATTATTTATAATCACAATTTAAAAAAAATAAAAGTATTGATGAATCAAGGATACTTGATTTTAATGATACTTAACTTTAACACTGACTAATCGTTTATAATTAAATTTAAATCAATATATTATATTGATTAAAATTAAATTTAATAATAATCAGTATAAAATATAAAATAAAACTAATAATAGTAACAGAAGATTGCAATATAGTTTGGATACCATGGAATGCTGCATCCTATGCCATTAGATCAATGTCAACATAATTTAGAAAATATATAATTACATTTGCAATCGAGTCAAAAAAATGTTAATAGTTACCAAATTTGATATTCAATATATAATATATAATTTATATAACAAATAAATATATAATTTATTTGTTTACCATAAGCTTCATATATTTTACTTTGTAAATTGTACTTCATAAATTTATATTTATGGTTATATACTTAGAAAACATTATATATACTTTCGATATGATAACCAATATTCTTATTTTTCTCTAGGCAATGAATTTGGACATCCTGAATGGTTAGATTTTCCTCGCAAGGGTAATAATAATAGTTATCATTACGCTAGGCGTCAATGGCATTTAGTAGATGATGAGAATTTAAAATATAAATTTATGAACAAATGGAATTCAGCAATTAATGCTTTAGAAGAAATTTATGGATGGCTTCATTCTAGTCCTGTAAGTTTTCATATAAATTAGTAATATAGTAAAATATTTTAGAATCATTATTTCACTTAAATAAATAATTTTACGTATAAGTTGCTATGTATTCGAAAATTATATATATACTTGGAATAATAAAAATAATAAGATTTATAAATATTCAAGATGAAAACTGTTTACAAATGTTAAACTTTAGCCATAATTATAATTCATTCGTTGAAATTCATTCATAGATTTATTTATTAATTATTATGCAATAAAAATATACTTCATTTGATACAAAAAGTAATTCATTTAATAATAACATAATTACTATAATTATAATTTTTGTATAATTAAAAAAAAACTATATTCGTATAATTACATTAAGTGTACAACTGTATTGCCTATATTTGTATAATTAAAATATTAAGCGTCTCCATCTCCATAATAAAATTTCCAATAGAGAATTATATGAAAAATATATTTCACTAAATGAAATAAATTAATTAAACAAATCATTCATTATATTGTTGTTTATCTATATTTTGATAGGTTAAATTAAAGTTTTAATTTCGAAAATTAAACAATCATATTAAAAACAGATTATATTATCTTATATTCAGATTATATTATATATTATATTATTATATTAAAATTAAATTATCGTTCCATTCCATTTCTTTATTCTCAAAAATATTTAAAAAAAATAGTAATACTTACTTTATAAAATTTCATTTATTCAAAAACTTTAAAATAAAAAAAATTTTTATATCAAAGAACCGATATTGCGTACATTTCTATTAAAACATGTCAAATTAAATTCAATTAAAAATCACTTAATTCAATATTCATTAAAGAATTTGATAATATAATTTCTGTTAAATCCTAATAATAAAAAAATAATATATTCTAAATGTTTATATTTGTAACTAAAAATTTTAATTATTACGGGATAGCAATATTTACACTAGCTACAAAAAATCATTGTAAATCACTAGTCACATCCACAATATGTTGTTCTTTTGTAATAAATTGAAATAACATAATAAAAATTATGATTGTTTTATATTTTTAATCTTTCATTATAATTTTATAAGTATTTAACCGAAGTCTTGATTAAATGATAAATAAATTAAATGTAAATATATTAATTATAGTTATCTAATCGAATATAGAAATACCAAGTAAAACTAATAAATATTCATATTTAAATATAAATTTTGTGAAACTCAGAATCATTTAAAATCGACATCTTTAAGTCTCTATACAAAACATATAAATATATATCTAACAAAATTAATGTATCACTTATATAATGATTAGATATGTGAATAATTGTACATTTTTTAATATAGATCGTTTAAAAGATGTAAGTAGATTAAATATATATATTTATTTATATATATATATATATATATATATATAGAAATTTTTATAAATTTGTTTTATATACTCATTTTGAAAATATATTATTAGATTAATCGTAAATACATATGTTATGTTACAAAGTCATACTATTATTATAATTATTAAAGCTGACGAGGCAATAAAATGTATATGTTCAATTAACTACACAATTATTTAGAAGTAATTATTATATTTATTGCAGTCGGTAATAAAGTATCAGTATGAATCGACCTTGATTTATATAATTGCCGACAGCTGTCTGGAGCAAGTATTAAGGAATAAAATATTACAATAAATTCTAAAATAAATGCAAATGCTTTATTCAAATTTGTCGAGGACTTATTTTAATAAGTTTATTATATGTAACAAAAAATAAATAAGTAACAATAATATATATATAATTTAAATAATAGTTTTAAAAGCTAAATGGACAAGAACTAATAGCCTAAAGTGACATTAAAAACTAAAATGTGAATTTGACTTTGGCACGAATTAATAATCTAAAATAGCTGTAGAAACTCAAATAAAGAATAAATTTTAAAATAAAGTAGACGTATATTCTGTTTTTAATAATTACTTTTTTATATAACATTTGAAATATTTATTACTAAACTTTATATTAATTTAGTAAATAATTTTAAAATACCTTTATCTTTATTACACTATAGCATAACTCGTATATTTTTTTACATTTAATTAAATCATTATTTATAATTTATGTCAAAATAATTAGAATATAATTTATTATATTATATAAACTAAAATAAAAATAAAATCTAAGAAATAAAACTTTAAAATAATATATTATAATTTATAATCGAATTTTGTTAAATTATATAATAAATGTATACAAATTTATTTTTAATCATGTATTATAAATTACTGTATCTAAATTTAAAAAAAAGTTACTTCATAAAAAGAGTTCATAAAATTATTTTTAAAAATGTAAAATATAAAATTATCAAATAATAAACTTCTCAAAAAAAAATTTAAATTGTTTTCAAATAAATAAAATTATTTGATATTTAGAAATAGAAAATATTTTAAATATTCGATGAATATGTTCAGCATCAAATTTTAATTAATGTTTATAAGAAAAATGAAAGAGGGTATTCTACAAAATACAGATATAAAAATAATTTTAACAAATAAGTATATATAAATATATAAACATTAGTAAAAAATAAATAAAAGTATGTATAGTGTGTAAATATATAAAAATATGTAGAATATTATTTTGGGCAATATATTAGTCAAATAAAATTGTGAATAAACATATAATTATGGATAGTATACTAAAAATGATTGAACCTTATGAATAATTGATTGAGTAAATAAAATAATTTATAAATTATTGTAATATTACGACTTGTATTTATTACTATTATTGAAGTTTCCTTAATTGTATGTTGTTTTGAAATAAATTCTCGTTATTTAATTACCTTATATTGTTATTGTATTTTTACTTGCAATTAACTGTCCAACAAGGACAGAGGATTTAGTATTTGGTAGTAAATTATTATTTAAGAACAATACCACTGATATTAGCGTTAAGTTTCTATAATTAATAAGAATGAATACTAATATAATAATTTATAATGCCAATTATTTAAAACGCATGTATATTAGTTAATAATTCTTATAAAATCTATCATATAATGTATGCATATATTATTTATGAAATATTTATTAATTAGTGTTATATATTATGGTTTTTAATTCATTTAATGATAATTCAAATTTATTAAAATATTTTATGTATTTGTTTTAGTTCAATCTTGTATATAATTCCTATCTATTGGATGACCTATATATTATATAAATTTTTGCATTTAGCATCTACTTTTTTATACTATTGATTATTTTGTTTTCGATTTATTTATATTTCTCTTTAGCACATATATTTTTAGATCATAGGCTTTTAATACTGTACACTGAAAAATATATATCTGATAGATAGTTTATCAGAAATCATGAACATTAAAATATTATCAAATACTTAATTCAATAAAAATGATATTGTTTAAATATAATATGATTATATATATATATAATATATATATATATATATA